TTTAGGCACACATCTTAACACAAGCTCCACACTCAATACACCCACACTTCATTCTGAAAGTAAATATGATTACCTGCGGTTATCCAAAACGCACAACATCCAAACATTTAAAGAAAGTTTGAAGAGAAAAAAACATTCCCAAGTTCCCAAGCTTTTTGCCCAAATGATCCAAAGGTATGGGGGAAAATACCAACCTCACCACTTCACCAAGATAGTCTTATCACCAGTCCATAAAGCCATGTGACTTGGACAATGTAAATTACCTGATACCGCACACAGTGCATAGGGTTCAAGTGCATAAACGAAACAAATTTTGACTTAATTACCCTGTTATCTTTGTGAACCGCCGAGAAGATGAGCCAGTGTGGTACAGCCGTACATCGTTATCAAAGCATTATCCAGATAACTGTTGTTAATGCGCGTAAACAAGTTAATTAACCCGAGCAAACGCCACAATATTGGAGTCAAGTATCAGATAATTGATGTAGATGTTTATTGTCAGATAATCAATAAAGCACCATTGTGGGATAAATTGACGAGCCAGACCACGTATACTTTTGAGAAAAGGGGTTTCAAAAACAAATTCAATAATTTATAGGAAATAATCAACAGGGAATATTCAATAGGAAATAATCGATAGAATTTGTGATAACTATATTAAGTCAAAATGGTTATGGGAATCCGTTTCATTCAACCTCGTCGCTATGGCTCGCATGGCTCGCCATGACTACGCTCGCACTAGCTGCTCTCTTTCGTGGCACTGATTGCCCAATGATATGAATATAATAATGAGGAGTGAAATGGTCGCTGCGCTGCGAGTCGATACTTGTTTTTTTACGCAGAATATGGAAAGAAGCCCTGGGTTATCGTTCCCTCTCAGAAATTAAGTTCTAATTGATGTCTTTTGATCAGAAAAAAATGCGTAGACAATAATTTGCTATGTTAAAAGATTCAAAAAATGTCCCACGTATTGTTTTTTATACAAATTAGTGCCGCCATTGCCGAACAATCTATTTTAAATTTCACTATATCTCAGCCAATATTGTAAATAACTGAACGAATTAGGTGTCTAAACCCATGTTTGCGAGGTCAGAGATCACAATAAAACTATTATGGAAGTTACCACGTGTGTCTGACGCATAGAGATATGCAATTAGTGCGGCTTATACCGGAAAATTATGTGTGTTTTTTATATCTCGGCCTATAGCACATAACTACACAAGTAAAGTGTCTGAACCCATGTTTCGAGGGTCAAGTATTGCGGTCGGCGTGGCCACTAATGGAGTATGGAAATCACAAGATGACCTCGGGAAAATTCCATTTGTAATGGCACTGTCATCCTGTTCGATTAGAAAAGTGGCACACAAAAAAAAAAATTTTCACGAGATAGTCGTCTTCACAATGCATGCGAATAAAAACAACAACTATTGTGACACATATTTCGATATTGTCAAAAATATATAATAACTACACTCATAAAGTGCTGCGAGAAGTGTTTTTTGCATGCGTAATCCTTACTTTTCCTGAAGTGCACTTTTGGCTCATCAACTTGAAGCTCACATTTATTGTTTATGCATGCACAATACATTTTTTTTTGGCAAACATGAGCATGTATTTTTTCGGCACACATCCTAACACAAGCTCGCCATTCAATACATCCAAACTTCGTAATAAAAGCTTATAAAAGTTGACTGCGGTTTGGAGGGTTTTCCTCAAATCCTCAGATTTGTGGGGGAAAAAAATCCGAATTCCCAAGCTCATGCCCGAATTACAAAGATCTTGGAGTAAATACAACATTTAATCATGCTGATGGCGGTAAAACTCTAGGAGTTGTATAAAGACGCACTGCAAATGCTATATATACTGACGCACTACATTAACGATCAACGACAGTCTTGACTTGCATTTGATAGTACCTTTACCAGCAACTACAGAGACTCATGGAACTACAATGTTTAAATACTGGTACATTTAAAACCCCTGTCTCTTTTTTTTCGGCGATGGAAGGTTGAGTCAATATTTGCCTATTTTTTTTACCCTCTTGAAACTGCCTTGCCACTGTACCCTGAAGATAGTCATATACCATTCCATGAAGCCCTGTGACTTTGACACATTGCAAATCACCTGATACCACACCCCATGCACAGGGGTTAAAGTGCATAAACGACACGAGAGCCAGGTTGGTACTGACGTACATTGTAATACAAGCATTGTCGATATATAGTTATTGTTGATGTGAGAAAAACGCTTCAACAATTACCCAGGTCAAACATCTAAACATTGGAGTTTGCCCCCATATTAGCATGGAGGAATAAAAATACATGTTTTATTCTTGTGTATTTACATTTCTCCATACTATCAGTTAATCATTATTATTCCAGATTTGGACCTAAAAAATTCCGTCAGCAGTGCCAATGTGTCCCACAAATCGCGGAGACGCTCCCCCCCCCCCCATCCACGCAGAAATACGTGTCGAACAGTACACTTTCAGATCCTAAATTCGAAACTTCGCCTAATAGTGGCAATTTTGACCCCAAAACGTGGACGGCTTTAGACATCCATGACTAATAAGTTCTTCCCGATCCTGAACTCATATTTCTGCCAAATAATGTAAATTTTGTCCCTAAAATTGTGGACAACTCTAGACATCCAGGACTTACAAACACCCAAACATTTCCCCTCTGGTGCCACTTAGTCCCCCTAATCGAGGACAACTCTAGCCATCCACGTACGTTTTTCAAAAATCTGCAAGCTAATCCTAATTTTCTCCCTTACAGCGGACAACTTTAGACAGCCTTGCATGGTACACTACCAAAAATCAGTGACAAGCTCAGGGCAAGGATACTAAGATTTGCGCGGCACTGTCACATGAATCCTGAGCTTGCTGTCAGCAGCCTGGTGCTCTGGACTTCCTCCCATGGCAGACGACCCACAGGAGGACCGAATATTACCTACGTTGACAGCCTTTGCCACGATACAGGCCTCCTTAAAGAAGAACTACTGGATGTTATGGGGACAGGGAACACTGGACAGCCATTATCCGGCAGATATCGCGAGAATTAAGCAAACAAACAAGTCCCCGGGTTAGGTAACTGTCCGCCCAAATTTAGTCAAATTTTAAGGGGTACCTCTTTAGATTCAGTGATAATTTGAAAACATTTCCAAGGTTCCAAGCTTTTGTCCGAATTCAAACGATATTTAGAAGAAAAACCCAGCTTCGCCACTTTACCTAGATAGTCTTATTACCAGTCCATAAAGCCATGCGACTTTGACATTGCAAATCACCTGATGCCACACACTATTCATAGGGGTTAAAGTACAACATGAAAACGAAACTGAAACCTATAACAGGTGGACTGAAGTGGCCTTTTTTTGGCTGTGAGTCGTATGAGTCAGGTTGGTACAGACGTACATTGCATAAACACATTCTTGTTGATGTGCGTCAACGGTTTAATAATTAAACAGGGCAAACACCACAATATTGAAGTATGCCCTGGTATGAGTAAGTCAATATTGATATTCAGTTTTACATAAGACAGCCAAGAATCAATGTTGGATAATTTAAGGCCTGATGGAAATCATGAAAGGTATTCTAACGTACTTAATTTAACAAAAAGAGCCAGAGCTACGTATTATCGACTTACGAGCGCTTAAACAAAATATTGATCTCGTATTATTCATTTCTAGTTAATGTGAAAAGTTTGTAAAAGAACAGCGGCCTGTGATAATCTGTTATAATATTAGATTATGGTTGTTTATATAATTTCAACGTCATTTTGGTTAAAGGTCAATTTTGTGATGTCCCTGAAATTATCAAGTACCCCTGCTAGGCAACCGTTCGTCCAATTTTAGTCCAAATTACGGGCACCTCTTCTTTATCGTGGGAGTCCTACGTGTCAAGATGTTTTCATTGTTGATGAGATTTTCCACATAATTATATAAAGGTCAAAATGTGCCAGTATACATGTATAATCATATTTGTGAGTTTGAAGTTGATCATTAGCGAGGTTTGGCAAGACTACTTGATGATATCTGGGGGAAAAGTAAATGAGCGAGAATCACAGGGTATAATCCATGTTGGATGTTTCACGGTTCCCATAAATATGTAGTGGCTTATATCGTTAGTCCCACAACAAAGTGACGTATGGTGTGTACAAAGCCTATGGATGGTTTGCCACTTCGTGGTGCACCCGATTATGCTTTAGAAAAATGTTATTTAAGTAAGGGTAGGTCAACCCAAAAACCCAAAATATGTAAATAAATACAATGTTTATATTAAGCAACGGATAGTAAGATACATGCAAATAAGGCTCCTTTCCAAAAGAATTTTAGGTGGCACGGCACCCTTTCCAAATGTCTTCTCTAGGACTAAAAGAGTCTGTTTGCCAGGTTTTATGCTTTGGTCCAGTCGGTCACGATCTTATCAAAGGTTGGAACTAAGCCACTTGACAATGAGAAAAGTATTGAAAAAAAAGGAAATATGGATCTGCATTACACTAGGTGCTTTGGAACAATCATAATATAAGTGCCACATGTACAAAAATAACCACCATGTTCCGGGCGCATGCGTAATACACAAGTGCAGAGCATTATGTGGCGGGGACTTCAAAGGTTCAAGGTACAAGTTCTACCAAAGATGAGATCTTGCAAACAGACGGAATAGCATGCCCTGCCGCATGCTGTTCATGTTTGGCAATTCTCCAAAAAAAACCGGGGCTTTGCCACTTGTAGCGGCTATCAGGCCCTTATTAGGAAATAATGCTATTGATAGTCAAATTACGCAAAACTGTCGTCAGGCAGCCAATGAAATCACTCAATCGAGGAAATAATGCTATTGATAGTCAAATTACGCAAAACTGTCGTCAGGCAGCCAATGAAATCACTCAATCGAGCGCGTCGGGGCAGGGCCTGTGATGCATTGTGCTGAGGCTCTGGGCCGTGCCGGCCTTTGCAGAAAATATCACGCCACTATATTTCATGATTACAATTTATAAGAGCTCGCGAAGCCAGTAGCGAGTCACATTGGAGATTTACCCCCGACGAAGGCGTATCATGGATGCATGGGCATCGCAAAGCCAACCGAGTGGTTTCAAATTGCAAAGGAGAGGAGAGACATAGACGTTTGTATCAGGATAAAGTCAACGCTGGTGGAGACCAGTCTCTGAAGGATTAGGGACTCGTTGGGGAGGGCTGCCAACGCGCCAATACAAGGTACGTAACACATCACACTTCAAATGTTGTATGTCACTAAGAAAAATATGTCACAATTACTTCCATAAATCCACTTGCAGAGTGTAAGCCCATACATATCAACATTGACGTTATTCAAGTCAGTCCATCTAAATCAAAGACTATTGAGAGTTCAGATATTTTAGCTAGAGATAGCTACATTTTTTTGCAGGTCACGAGGGCTGCCGATTTTGCAGAAATGTTGCTGCCGATTCGAAAAAAATACCCATTGAAAAGTACCCATCAGAGACTTGTATTTCAAAGATGTTAATTTCCATATTTGGTTCAATCGCTGTATATATAAATGGGAATAAAAAATTGCATATTAAAGGTTTTCTGAAATCGTAAAGAAAAGGATTATTTCAGGATAGGCTGCCAAAGGGTTTTGTTAACTCGTCGCAAAATACAATGTTTGTCCCGTTAAATAATGTTGCCGTCCCGATTTTGCCTCTTTAAGTGTCCCTGTTTTGCATTTAAAATTTTTAGCCCGTAGCACTTTGCCACTCATGCATCCTCGGCTACTGTGCTGTTTGTTGATATTTGAGACCATTTGGGTTTTGTCAAGAAAATAAAATGCATTGTCATTATAGCAAAGTTGTGTCCCTAAGAGTGACGTCATGATTACGTGATCATGGGTCACGTGACGTCATCACAAACGTGCATGTTTTGAAGTGCTATATCTACGGAACTGTAAATCCGATTGGGTTGAAACTTGGTATGTCGGTAGACCGGGATGTGTTATAGGTTAAAAAAATAAGGTGACGTCATCATGACGTCATCATGCGATTTTATATGAATATTTGAATTTTGGGACCTTGAAGCCATATCTCACGAACGCAACATGCAAAATTCAAAATTCTTTTTGTATTTGGTTCGTTAGGTAATAGGTATTTGCCGAAACATTTTGAAAAGTGTATGACTTCATCATGACGTCATCAAAAAATGCGATATTTTAAAACACACATAAGGAAAGTTCCGATCGTAATGAACTTGGTCGGTAAGTAGATAACGGTACAAGTATAGAAAGTTCGAAGTGACGTCACAATGACGTCATCGGTTGATTTTTTATAATTTTTTATAATTCTATTCTGCTTCCAAAATTGCACACTTCCTTTCATCGGATTGACTGTAACCTTGCTTCAAACCAAGACCACAGTGACAAAATATGTAATGAGAAGGGTTTTCAACATGACGTCATCGGAGGGCATGTGACGTCATGTGATAAGGCTTTATTTTGGGGATTATTCTAAGCATTGTGAACAACCTTTAACTGTATTAAACACTCTAAAAAGTTACAGCAAACGACAAACATAGCATAAACATTTATAAAATGTAAAAAAGCCCTGTGTTCTGTTTTCAAACAGACATACAGCTCTAGCTGTTTATTGCACTGCTTCACATCAGAACGCGATATCAATGAATTTGTTGAACCATGGAACCGTAGTCAGAGTGTTTTATTATACGTGTGTTATTTGCTAGCGCTTTTCTTTAATATAGGTCCAGATCATTCTGATCCACCATGTACATGTCGACCAAAAAAATGAAATGTCGCAAAATGGCTGAACTTTTGATATTCGATTTAAACAAAAAACAAACCGTTTGTTTCCAAAAGTGTACCCCTCTTTTAAGTTTTGAGCCTTCTATTGTAATGGTCAAGAAAATGATTGCCACGTGAACTTTTACGTTCCGTATTTCATTGTGCGTATTTCATTCGATTGGCTTGAAATCTGCAATGCCCCCCCCCCCCCCCCTTAAGCAACATAAGGGACGAATTTGGGTCGGGTTTTAAGTTGGTCACTTTTGGTCAAAAGATTTCGCCTATTTTTTTCTCTTTTTTTGGAGCACTTGTTGACCATTGTTTATACAGATATTAAGCTGAAATGTATAAACTTAAAAATGTACCAATTACAGAATATAAGAACAAATAATTGCGAAGTACGCGGACTAATTAATCTCCATAGTCTTTAATTGTTCGTGAAAACTTAAAATGCCACACGCGCGTTGTTTTACAGGGCAATTATCTCACGCACATTACGCGTTTTATTCCGTCTCTTCGTGAAAACTTAAACGCCTATTCGCGCGTTGGTTTTGCCCATAGAACAACGTGATAAAGTTGGAATGTGTCTGTTCGTGAAAACTAAAATACGATTCAGGTGAAACTAATGATTGATTTTGACAAACATAACTTCCCCAATTTGTTCGTTGCTGTTTACTTAATAACCGATTTCGCCCGGAAAAAAAAAAGAATTTCGAAAAAAAGTGTAGATTTAGGCCAACTCGTCCCTTCATGAACACAATGCCGAGTAATTTATACAGGTAGCAGGTTTAACGTTCATTGCCTAAAGCTTTTGATAGACACTGTTCCTTTTCATTTGCAGGGTTCGACCTTAACTTTTTTGTCCACTAACCAGCCGGGTTACTGAAAGAGACTCTTAACTAGCCCGCGGGCATTTTTACTAGCCAGCATGTTTGTTTGTTTTCTTTTATACAGTGTCTCATAAACAACAATGTGCATACATGTAAAACGTGTATATAGAGCCTGAAATTAACATGATAAAAGTCAGAGTTTTTGAAATAGTTTTGGTACATTGATTTCTTAAAAAATCACCCTCGGAATTTTATGGAAACTGCAAAATCACATGACGTGAAAGAGAAATATCGTGCCAAAAATTGACCTCTCACTTCCAAAAACATCCGTGTGGACTCGATCACTCGTTCAAGCATGAACATTTATGAAATAATTTTGTGGCGGTCATTTGGTAAAGCTTAAACATGAGACTAATCTATAATGACCGTTGATAAGAACTGTATTAAAACGTGATCCAAACGTTACCGAAAAATCTATTTTTCACTATATCTCAGCCAATATTGCAGACAACTGAACAAATCAGGTGTCTAAACCCCTGTTTTCAAGGTCAGAGATCACAATAAAATTATTCTGGAAGTGACCACATGTTTCTGTGGCATAGGAATATGCAAATTAGTGCCGCTAATACCGGAAAATCATGTTTTTGGCATATCTCGGCCGATAAAGCACATAACTACACAAGTAAGCAGTCCAAACCCATGTTTTGAGGGCCAAGTATCATTAGAAGACCATTCACGAAGTAACTATGTGTGTCTTTGGCATGAAAATATGTAAATTATAAAGTGTTGATTGATCAGAAATTTGATTTTTTAGCCAATATCTCGGGTCTACCGGAAGTTCAAAGTTAGGTGAATTCAAGATGAAGACATCAAAATAAATCAAAACAAAGCGAAATTTCTTCAGAACGGTTTACGTGATGAGCATGAAATCTGAAACGAACTTGAACCATTTTAAGAAGATGTTATTTATTTTGTTAAGTCATCATGATTTTATCAGGTATCAAGATACAAGCAATTTAAGGGCAAATTTTGGCAAAATAGTTTGCGCTATATATAAATAGAATATTGTGTTCTTTTCTTGATGAAGTTTAAGACTTTTCTTGAGAAACATTTTCTGTTCCCGGACTCAAAACTGCTTGACCTTTACTTTCAGTGTTACCGGAAATGCAATAAAAACTGAATATAGCTTACTACAGAGATATAAATGATAAAAGTGTTTAATGAGGAATGCAAGACACAAAAAAGTGTCACGATGTTATCATCCAGAAGGGCTTCCCCTAGCGGCACATAAAATGTAATTTGCTTTCTACAATTTTAAATCCATCCGTTAAAAACCACAGATAACTTGGCAAGATTTCAAATTCATAGCGTCATTAGACAGGAAGTTACTTTAGGGAGAATTTGAAAACGATTATTTTGTAAATTAAGTTCTATCATTTTGATGCCTGTCTTATATCTTTTTAGCCAAAATAATGATATCCATTACAATGTCCACCTTTTGATCTCCTATGGTGTGACGTCATTAAACCAGGAGTTAGGTGCTATTAATACAAACATATATATTTTCATACGTTATTTTAACTTCACAGTGAACATCTATCATCGACGAACTAAGTCAGTATGCAATTACCGTTTTTAACTGATGACGGCATCAAACCCGAAATAACTTGTTTCTGTACACAGAATGTTTAGCGTTAAATATGCATTTTTTTAACAAAATATTGATTGTACTGGGAAGGATTTAAATTTGTGATCCTCTGTTTTTACCAAAACATATTCATAACTTAACTCGTCAGTGTTTAATGAATAAGTTGTCGCTCGACCACGCTGCGTTTGTAACTCAACAAACGCGAACCTCTAGTATTTCTCTGAAATCGCCTTATAGTAAGGACTAAAGTGATGACGACAGGTTTGCAGAGCCGAGCGCTTGTCACCCACAATTTAATCCCTCATCAGCATTGACTGACCTAACCAACACTGAAGACAGATTCTCAATGTTCTTTTCTTAAGCCCTTTAAGCTTGAAAATGGAACCCTCCTAACTCAAATTTGATTGGTTTGGTTTCCCCCTTTAGGATTTCTTTTTTGGGCGGGGGTTGGTTGTGTTGTTGTTTGTTTTGTTTGTTTTGCTTTTGTGATTGATTTTATTATCATTTTATTTGTATTTGTTTCTTTGGGGGGGCGTGACACACGGCATAAAAGTGGCACACAGATTCCCTTTTCCTCCTTACTTCCACCCGGATATTTAGATTAGAATTTCAATTCGGAATGTATAAATTTAAATGGCAATAAATTAATGAAGTCTTGTGACATTTCAATTCGGGCGATTCACAATGCAGTGCGCCACCAAGAGTTTGCCACGGAGAGTCCATTTTTCAAGTTTACGGTCGACAAAACATGGCCCATCGGAATGAGTGTCGGTAGACAACTTGAGCTAATATGTCATAGATTGGGGCATAGCGTTCTGCCGCCTTACAAAAAAACACCATATTGATAACACGAAAAGAAATGGGCAAACAGATTCTCGAATTATACGCTTACAAAACCACTGACCGGAAAAATGAACAATTTCAAAGTCCCGCGCTGCGAATTTGTCGACCATCTCCCACAATGCACTGGTAAAAATGAACTCTCCGTGGCAAACCCTTGGTGGCACACTGCATTGTGAATCGCCCGAATTGTAATAACTAATATCCTGCTAAGTAGGGGGAGTAGTTATGTTAGCCGAACGCATACAATGTGTCTCTTCTACTCCCAGAAAGGGGTGTGCAGTGTTGTGATTAAACACATCTTAGAAAATTAGATCCTTCTGGGTTTTATATTCTATCTAGGTTATTACAAGTGTTGTTTCACACCAAAAAAAGTGTATATTAATATGAGACGATGATTAAAATATGAGTTTGTCATTATAAAGCATATTTACAAAAACAAAATGTTTTCTTTCCTTCATGTTCGAAGCACGGATCTGCAGCATTATATTGCACAAATTATGAAACACTCACAGTAATTAAAAGTAGGTGTCCGCACAATTTGATGATTTTCCGATAAACGAATTGACTTAAAATTGATCAATGAAATTATTATTTAGGGGAAGTTTGTGAGGGGCAGGTTTGCGCGAAGCTTAATTGCTATGGGAGAGTTGACGAGGGGAGTAGGTAGGAGGAGGGCAATTGATAAAGGGGTACGTTGGGAACGGGTGAGTTGATGAGGCAAGAGTTGGCCTTGAGGAGCGTTTATCAGATACCATAATATCCCATGGGAGTGTGATATTCACTATGACGCGAACAAGCCATATAATGCCAATGGTAACTGCATGGCATTAAACTATCCCGACTTCAACTGTTAACTTTGTATCGGCATGTTTGTATATACTTTTTGCAACTTATTCTTTCGGAGATGCCACATGCTTAGAGGAATTCCGGTATTTCAAAATTATGATTACCTGCAAATTACCTTTAATAGTTATTAGGTGCCATTTATAGTTAAAACTTTTCATCGTTATTCTAGATCAGTTGAGCCTCATCGTCTGACGTCTGACTTCAATCACAAAGATGCAGGAAGGCAGCCCTGGTCGGCGGGGTAGAGCTAGGATCACGGCCGAGGAGTACAACCACTCACTCAGCAAACTCGTCAGTGCGAAGAGGAGGGTTAAGCCAAGTCGTAAGGCGGCATTCATGGCCGCCTTTCCAGTCAAAGCCTCGCCAAGACTCCATTCTGACGAAGATGGAGCATCCGTCCTGCCACTGAAAGAGGCTTCAGTAACTCATCCTGAGCACAGCAAAACTGCAACAACAGACGATACAACCAGCAAAACTGAAATGAAAAGGTACTAACGGGGGAAATTGTTCTCAAAATCTCAATCTACCAAATGTTTACTAAATCCCCATCATGTATCATGCCTGTAGGATGGTAGTGTCTCACTTCTTGTCGTACCATGATTAGTGGTATTCAGTTTGACAGAGAATAAACCACCAAATTTTCTTGACTACAATGTTCACAAGTTCACATTTAATAATTTCGCATTCGCATCTTTATGTACCTTTTCAGTTTACTTTTTCATACAGTTCCAAGCAACCTTAAATCTGTATCTAAAACAAACTGTTAATTTCAATGCAAAAAAACCCGATATTTTTACTCTTATATTCTTTATTCTAATTGATCGTTATTACCCAAACCATATTAATATAATATGTAAACATCCATTGTAATTTGAGGTGAATATCTGACATCGTTTCCTTGTACTCAAAAGGTGAAAACTGTATACTAAAAACCCTTCAGGAATTTGCTGATTAGAAAACAATGATTGTCAGAGTTTTGTTGTTTCATCTCATGCAGGATATTTTATTGTGTTTTCAACTTGCAGTCCCGTTGAAGTGAGACGGAAATTGCAGGTGTTTGTTCGAGGTCTCCTCTTACCAAAGACAGTTTGCCTGCAATTAGATCCGGAGACATCCGTATCTGATTTAAAGGCATTGATTCAAAATGAAAATGGCATCCAGTCTCAAAATCAACACCTTTACATCGGGAGAAACTTTCAGGTGCTGATTTTACTATTACACTGGAAAGAGAAATAAATTGATGTCACATTTTAAAAATTAATTTATCTGAGCGTATAACAACCATTCAATAATAATTTCGTAAACGTTTTAATGAATTAACATCTATCGCTGCGAGTAGGTTGTATTTGAAAGATCCACATAATAAACATTGAATTGTTGCTCTGCCAATGTAGATAGTTAAAGACTCCATCATATGTGACTTCCAAGAACAATGACTTCCAAGGGGTTCAAGTTTATGCGCAAGGGCGTCAATTGCTTCTAAAACGTGGTTGCGTACCTAGATAAGAACTAACGCGTGAGCGCGAAGTGCGACTTCAGCCGTCACTGTTTGGGGTTCTGAGCCCGCTTATAAAGGGGCACGAAAAAAATGATTCTAAACGCTCTGTGGTGCAATTTGAGGCAATTTCTGACCTTGTTAACCCTTCGTTTTAGCAAAATATTTCGATTTAAACATCATTTTCGCGTTAAGAGTTATTGAATCAGGTATTCTGAGCTACATGATTAAATAGGCTGCAAATTTTATTCTGGAAAAAAAATAAGTGTGTGTGGGAGGGAACAATATGATATTCCCCCACTTTAAAAATTGTCGCCAATGTTCATGCGCATTGTGCTTTTCTTAAGAAAGTTTCGTGTAATGTGCTGATCAGCATCCAAATTCGTACAACCAAATGACCTTGTATTACCCATGCTTGTATGGCTTTAGCCTGGAATGTTTATAGATATAGCTATGGAGAGTACATTCTGTCGATAATCATGAGTCAGTTTGTGGTTTGGGGTATGTGCAACTAAAATTATTGGAATAGAGACTGGTCACCTGAACTGTTAATAAAAAATAATTTATAGGCCTACAGCAAGTCTATTCATTTTGGTCACTCAGCGAAAGGAAGTATTTCTTTGGTTTGAAAACTGTTGATGAAAGGCGGGATAAAAATTTTATTTATTTTTATAGAGTGTCTTTTCCCGCAAAATTGTTTAAACCACGTAATTGTAACATGAATTTTTAAAACAAAATGTTGTAAAACACAAAATGATTGGTAATTTCTGGCACGAAATTGTGCCAGCTCGTCAGGTTCTCTTATACAGTTATAACAATTTGGAAATATTATGTCAGTCTAATGGCTAAGAAGTGTGCCACATTTATATTTTTCTAGAAGTCTCATGAAATTTCATTCAAATTGGTTCGCAGCTGTGTGACCTACTCTCCCTTTGTGATCATGGAATACAACAAGACCAGAACATCGAGCTTCGCATCGGTGGCTTGTTGGGCGGTGCACCATTAGGTAAATATCGAGGCAAAAGACTGTCTCAGAATTAGTTATATTCAGTGTTTAACCAAAATTCCACCTTTCAAAACAAAAAAGGGACGTTTCACCATAATTGCAGCAATATTCCTTTGCAAATTGTACATTACAATATGTTAATAAAACTGTAGAAACGGACCACGGCGACCTTTATTTTCCTCTCAAAGCTGGTATATATGTGCTTTTTCAAAAAACAAATTTCTTTCCTGAACGAAATTAAAAGAAATCTGATGTCCTTCAACAAAAACAAATTGCTTGTTTGCATTTGCAGGCCTTTATACAGAATTAAAACATGGTTTTAAATAGCGCGCTTCATTTCAGAACGTTTTGAGCGAAATACTATAAATATTCAAATCTACTGACGTTTTAACAATTGGCTCCTGCGCCAACAAAACGGAGGGCGTTTTTAACCATTTTTGAGGGGCCAGTGGACGGGACACATTCACACCGCGTGTGCACACTCTACAGGTTCGCGCACTAAGTACGTGCGACTTATTAATCCAGCTGTTGTCCGTGCGAAACGTCCCATTGATAGCGCTGCCAACGACAAAAAAGAGATAGGCCTGTAGAAATTGATGCCGAGTGCCCCTTGTCATTATTGAAATCACTGTTATGTTGGTAATTTGAAGTACTCGGCACAAATTGTTCACTTGATATCCGAAACTACACTTGTTCAGAAACTTCAGATGATTTTGTGAGAATATTGTAATAAAATCTGAAAAAAAATAGTGTTAGTTCAATGTATGCTTGAATTTTGACATGCCCTTACAGCCAAAACACGCACAATGTTATTTGTCTTCGTGCGAGCGAATCTGAACACTGCTCTTTACCTCTTTCGCGCCGCACCGTGACCCACTGAACTTCGTTATAAAATTTGTACAAGCGGCATATGAAAGAATAGCTCATCAATATTGATTTAATATATGAAAGAAAGGTCAATATGCAGATTTCCTGTAAGTATATGATACACTCCAAAAATATTCACAATACCGTTTCGTTGTTCGCGGTTCGGGGACGTCCCAATACCATATTTAGTCATATAGACTGTTTCATTTTGTTGGAAGTATTCATTTCAAGAAAATAAACTGCAACCTCATTTTCACATGAGGTTTCTGTGAAATAATCTTGCATGCTCCACAATGTGAAAGCTTTGAAAAGTTTGTTCATCGACATAGGGTCTGATTTGTTAGGCTTAGGCGAGGGCTAAGTATGCGTGCTGGAGCAGAGCTAATGCAATGCACCCGAGAGTAGAATGGAAGTGACCATCTAACGACACACGCACAGAGGATGCGTGGCGTAACGCCGCTGAAAATAATTAGAGGTCGGGAAAATGATGCCCTTGATGCCAGTTAGCTTCCTTGATGCCAGTTAGCTCGGCGGCTTTACCCAAAGGATGAGTGGGTGTTCTTTTATAAGTGAAATGTCTTGGAATACATGGATGTTTTACGTTTGGGTAAAAACAAATGGGGTGGTTTCGTCGTGCATTTTCGTCTTCCAAATCCATCAACATGTTCTTTCGATGCCATGAACGTGCGCTTGATCCGCGAACTGAATATCACTCCTGATTGGCTTAAAGTGCGTATCCATGGTGATCGCTGTATAAATGAATAGCTCCCTCTATCGGCTATCCAAAAGAAGGAATGAGACAAATGATTCAATATGCAAAAAGCTAAGCCATAGTGTCCTCGCGTGGTCTCCCTTGTCCCTCGATCCTCCCCCATAACTATTCGAAGTCCTTAATAGATGGACTGGGAAACCAGTCTAGATCTCCCTAACTTTCCTTTTTCTTGCCGTTGAAGGGATACTTTTGCAAGCACGGAGCCCATTATACATGTATGTTAATTTTGGAATTAAGCTTTTTGCATTAGCCTTGTGCGATCCTAGCTACGCAACGATTGCGGCCGCGCAGGTTCGCAACAGTGGCAGCCCCGCGATCATAGTGGACCTACATGCACCCAACCTACGTTCCATCATAATCTCTGCCATTTTTGCGTCTTTTTCTCGCACTGAATCGTTAATACCCGTAGTTTTCCAAATTGTGTTTTTGTGTGAGTGGTCGCAACACGTATGACACTGTATACTGTGCATGTACGGTGTCAGGTCAACTCGCCCCCTGGCCAACATAAACATTATGACAGCTACGTGTGGAGTCGTATGTAAATACTTGAAACATATGCTATTAACTTTTGTATTCATAACTGCACTACTACAAAGCACATGTGCACAATAGATCCCACCGGGCTTCAAAACTGAATTAGAAGCAGGACGAAATTAATTAATTGGTTACTTATCGTGGCCGTTTTTGGTTTTTTAGATGTCTAATTAAACAGTTCATAAATAATGTAATGCTTGAAAGTTATCAATTTAATTTGAAAATCTATTTTTCAGGGTGCCACACCTAGAAAGCACGTATATACCAGCTTTAAAAATAATATCCATCTGTTGTAGAGTACCCGACTACAATTTACACGTGTGTTAGCTGAAAAGGTAAAAGATGATTGATCAGTCAGTACGACTGGCTTCTGGTCGTGTTTAACCCAACCCTTGAGTTGGTAAATGCAAACTGTTTTATATGATTTTGCATTCCAGAGGAAGAACAGTTGAGAAGCATATACTTCTTAAACTTGTCAGGCCGGCTTGGACGACAGTGGAAGACGCTCGCCATCTATTTGGGATTCTTGGATGAAGAACTCGACGCATTCGAATACGGCAGAGAGGAGTTAAATCAGCAGAGCTTCAAGATGTTAAATACCTGGTGGCAGAAACAGGACAACCCCGCAGACGCGGCTGAGAAGCTGAGAGACGCCCTGAAAGATACGGGCCGTGCTGACTTGGCATTGCAAGTCAATGTACAAGGTGTGTACTGTCCTTTGACTGGTTTGGTTAAACTGCAGTGACCCGAGCCATCTGATTTAGTTTGCGTCACTGATTCTTTAGACGTCAAATAAAAGTAATACCACAGTGATTAAATGCTTTAAAAAGGTTTGGGTTTTTGTATAAGTTGTACCTCTTAAGACCCACTTTACACAGGGCTGCGACCTATGGGCCTCCCTTGTGCGACCATAAAACTGGCTCAAAGGAGGCCGAATGGTTGCCTAGGTAATTCAAAGGTACACAGGGTGTTCAGACATCGCCATGGACGCCATGGTCGCCGTAAATTTTCAAAAAAGTCGGACAAACATGACCATTTTCACTCGAATGAGCCGTTGCGCCCCTCCCTGGCACGAACCTCTCTGGATCCGCCACTGAGGTTGGTTGCTTAAAGGTGGCTCAAATGAGGCAGAAGGGAGGCACAAACATTGACGTGGTGGCAGAATGGATGCACAATGGAGGGCTAATGGTCGCCGCGTAATAGATCCGTTCTGTTGCAAATGTTACCGTCAATCTGGGCGATATTTCTGCCTCCCTTGTACCTCCTTTGGCCGACCGATTGCGTGCGTTGAACGTCAACTGTGGTAACCACTGTGCCACCATTCGGCAACCACGGAAACCCTTGAGCCACCATTGTTGCATGTTGCACAGGGGAAGCACAGGGGAGGCAGGCAAGTGGCTCAGTGGACGCACTGGTCGCTTGTGGCTCGACATGAAAATGCCCGAAAATTGCAGTTTTGGTGGTTCAAGGGAGGCCCAAGGATCGCTTGAGCAGTTACATAGAAACAGGATTGTCTGGGTTTAGGCGACCATTGAGCGTCCTGGCCTTTTTGGGTCGCTCATAGGTGGTACAAAGGTCGCAGCCCTGTTTCATTTAAAGGGGCCGAGTGATTGAAATTTAAACAAAATCGAATTCGATATTGAAATGATAATTACTGCTGTGCATAACTTCTGTTCATAAAGTTGCAACTGCTGATGGACGAAAACTTATATTCCAAAACACACACGAAACTGTGAAGCACACCGTATGTTAAAACGCTTCGCAGTTAATAAGCCAATGTGCTTACAAAGGCCAATCAGGAGGGGCCTATTTCGACACTTGTCATAAAAGAAATGCGTTAAGCTAGCAAAGGGTGCAAAACTTTTTTTGAAGAGCACGGGTCACCAGTGTTCTTCAAAATAGATTTGTTTTCTCTAAACGACCTTTCAATTTGTATGGGTTTTTTTTCTTTTAAACCTCTTTAGTTCAACATTAGGCGTCTGCGACCATCCGGAAAGCTTTTATATTTTGCGGACAAGTTAACCCTTAATGGGAGAGCCAGTTTATTGTCTTGCAGACAAAAATAAAATCAATCTAGTGAAGAAATCATTAATTAACAAGGTGTCGTGGATTATTTTCGTTGAAGTTTTCATTTCAATAAAATTAAACTTGTTTAAGCCAGGAAAATAGCAATTGAAGACCGACGTTTTATATGCTGCAAGTTAAATTGACCCCCACCCCAATGACTTTTCTGCACAGGCATCCCAGGACATCGTTTTGACGTTGAACAGTGTGCAAAAGAATTGGCAGCGCATTACCGAGAGACGATGAAAGTGGCGACATACCCATCAGCGAGACACATGTCTAGAAAGATGGATGACATGTACATCAACCCAAAGCTAGAAGAAGAGACTAACATACCAACGCCTTTTTCCGCGGTATCGGAGACAAAGATGCAGGCAGAGACAGGCATGCAATCGGAGCATCCGACAGCATCGCAAAGAAGTACTCGTAATCCTTCAAAATTACAACCTGAAAGGAGAAAAGGGTTAAAAGTCCAAAAAATTTCACTAGACTCCTATGAAGACATGCTTGTACTCGAATCAAATCGATTATTAATCAGAGCTGAGGCGGGTTACGGAAAAACCACACTTCTTAAAAAGATTGCTTACGATTGGGCTGATCTATATCTGAAAACCAAGAAGGATCCCAATGAAAACCAACCAAAACCTGAAACCACATCAGTTCTGGGAAGGTACAAGCTTGTCTTTGTGGTCGAGGTCAATCGAATGGGCAAGAAATTGGACATCATCGACGCCATTTTTACTCAAATTCTCACAGACAGGAAACTGAAGAAGAAATTTTCAGATTTGGAAAAATACATCAATGAAAACCCAGAGAGCGTTTTAATTATGTTAGATGGCGCTGATGAGATTTCCTTGCAAAGAGTAAAGGATGCACAGTGCGAAGACGGAATTGACTTGAACGATGTATTATCGTTCAAATCACTTAAGTCGTGCAAGGTTATAGTTACAAGCCGACAGAAGACGGCAAATGAATTGCTAAATATGCATGCACATTACACAAAAATTAACTTGGTGGGCTTTGACGAGAAAGACAGGGAACAGTACGTGAGGAAATACTTGAAAAATTTTGGACATGCTAATCAAAACAACTTTCTTAAAAAGGTGAATGGATCCGAAAAGCTTCGTAGTTCAGCCGAGATACCGTTATTTCTGTGGCTGATGTGCCACACATGGGCAGATGAGGGAGAACTATCTGACCAAATAACACACCTTTTTCGGAATGAGTTTCAGCTGCTTTTCCAGCATAAGGCTAGTAAAGAAACAGACAAGAAAGTTGATGAACCAGAGACACACGTTTCAACACTTGGTCGGATAGCTCTTAAAGGTTTGTTAAATCCAAATGGGAAAATGCTTCATTTCAGTGAAGATGAAATCAAGTCAAAGGACCTGGAGATTTTTGAGAGGGCCTCTGATGTTGGCTTGTTGTCCAAAAAACAGACTTTCCAAGGTCTCAGGAAGGTCTCTCATTTTTCGTTTTTGCACAAGACTTTCCAGGAATACTGCGCGGCGGATTATCTTGTAGATTTGTCAATGGATGACAGAGACGCCTTTGATCAATACTTGTCTCGTATATTGCATGGTGATGTGGAAAGCTTGGAATACGTACTGCGATTCTGCTGTGGGCTAAACACAAATGTCGCCGAGGTGATTTTGAGGCAAATTGGAGATCTCTTGAAGCAAAATGAAATGAACAAGTCCTTACATAGAATCTCGATGTTGCTCCTATTTGAAGCTCAGTCAGAATCCCTCGTGAAATACTTTGTTGAAACTGGGAAGGTTGAGTTTCCATATCAACTCCAAGGCGAAGTTCTCGCGGCTGCGCATTATTTCTTTGAAGTCGCCTCAAAACATGCAACTCTGCACAGAATTGACACAGAGGAAATTAGTGCTACTTGTCGAGATGCTGACTTCAATATTTTAGAGGATATACTGACGCACATTCGATGTAAGCCGTCGTTAAACCTTGAACTTCATGGCATCAAATGGGAGAGATTCTTGGATAACTCCACATGGATATTGAAATATCTTGCTTTTATAGACGTCCATAACTGCGAATGGAACCTTGCAAAACTTTTCCAATTGTTATCAAAAACCAACACGCAAAAAGTCGGAATAAGAGGGAAAGTTTCGCTGGATACACTGTCTGAACAAAACATTCAACCATTTCCATCCCTCGAAGAATGTTATTTTGTCGAATGTGGTTTTAAAAGCAGTGATATTGAGACACTTTTCAGTCTTCTTTCATCAGCAGACAGAATAAGGACAGTTGGTCTGAGGGGACACGATTTGCACGGTTTGGAGCCTGTCACAAAGACAAGTCTTCCTTCCCTCGAAGAATTGCAACTGGTTGAATGTGGTCTGGCAAACAGTGATATTAAGCCACTTTTCTCTCTTCTTTCCTTAGGAGGCGGCATAAAGACAGTTTTCCTGATAGGAGACAATTTGCACGGTTTGGAGCATATCAATATCGCTAGTGTCCCATCCCTTGAATACTTTGAGCTATGTAAAAGCCGTCTGACGAAGAGTGATATTGAACCACTTTTCTGTTTTCTGTCATCAGCAGGCAGCATAAAGACGGTTGTTCTGCGTGAAAACAATTTGCACGGTCTGCAGCACGTTACTGTCGCCAGTGTTCCTTCCGTGGAAGAACTGCACCTATATGAAAGTGGTTTGACAGAGAGTGATATTGAGCCACTTTTCTCTCTCATTTCATCAGCAGGCAATATAAAGACAGTTGCTCTGCAAGGAAACAATTTGCACGGTTTGGAGCCTGCCACGATCGCTTGTGTTCCTTCCCTTGAAGAACTGCACCTATATGAAAGTGGTCTGAGAGACAACGACATTGAGCCACTTTTCTCTCTTCTTTCATCAGCAGGCAGCGTAAAGAGAGTTGTTCTCTGGGGAAATACTTTGCACGGTCTGCAGCCAGTCACAATCGCTAGTGTGCCTTCCCTCGAATATTTTGAGCTACGTGAAAATCATCTGACAAACGTTGATATTGAGCCGTTGTTCTCTCTTTTTTCATCAGCAGGCAGCATTAAGAAAGTTGTTCTGAGAGGAAACAATTTGCATGGTTTGCAGCCAGTCAAAATCGCTTGTGTCCCTTCCCTCGAAGAATTGCACTTATGTGAAAGTGGTCTGACAAAGAGTGATATTGAGCCACTTTTCTCCCTCCTTTCGTCAGCAGGCAGCATAAAGATTGCTCTTTTGGGTGGAAACAATTGGCATGGGCTGCAGCCAGTCACAATAACTAGTGTCCCTTCCCTTGAATATTTTGAGATAGCTGATAGTGGTCTGACAAAGAGTGATATTGAGCCTCTTCTCTCCCTGGTTTCATCAGCAGGCAGAATAAAGAGAGTTGCTTTGATAGGAAACAATTTGCACGGTATCCAACCTGTCACGATTGGAAGTGTACCTTCTCTCGAGGAATTACACCTATATGAAAGTAGTCTGACAAACAGTGATATTGAGCCACTTTTCTCTCTTCTTTCATCTGCGGGCAGCATTAAGTCAGTGTTTTTGCGTGGAAACAATCTGCACGGTCTGCAGCCAGTCACAATCGCTAGTGTCCCTTCCCTTGAATATTTTGACCTACGTAAAAGCGGTATAACAAAGAGTGATATTAAGCCACTTTTAGCTCTTCTTTCATCGGCAGGCAGCATTAAGAAAGTTGTTCTTAAAGGAAACAATTTACATGGTTTGCAGTCTGGCACAATCGCTAGTGTCCCTTCCCTCGAAGAATTGCACCTATGTGAAAGTGGTCTGACAAACAGTGATATTGAGCCACTTTTCTCTCTTCTTTCATCAGCAGGCAGCATAAAGACAGCTTTTCTAGGTGGAAACAATCTGCACGGTCTGCAGCCAGTCAGGATCACTAGTGTCCCTTCCCTTGAATATTTTGAGCTATGTGAAAGTGGTCTGACAAAAAGTGACATTGAGCCTCTTTTCTCTCTTCTTTCATCAGCAGGCAGCATAAAGAAAGTTGTTTTGATGGGAAACAATTTGCACGGTTTACAGCCAGTCATGATTGGTAGCGTACCTTCTTTTGAGGAATTGCACCTATATGAAGGTGGTCTGACAAACAGTGATATTGAGCCACTTTTCTCTCTTCTTCCATCAGCAGGCAGCATCAAGAAACTTTTTCTACGTGGAAACAATGTGCACGGTCTCCAACCAGTCACAATCGCTATTGACTCTTCCCTCGAATATCTTGAGCTATGTGAAAGTGGTCTGACGAACAGTGATATTGAGCCTCTTTTCTCTCTTCTTTCATCAGTGCGCAGCATAAAGAAAGTTGTTCTGAGAGGAAACAATTTGCATGGTTTGCAGCCTGTCACAATCGGTAGTGTCTCTTCTCTCGAAGAATTGCACTTATGTGAAAGTAGTATGACAAAAAGTGACATTGAGCCACTTTTCTCCCTTCTTTCATCAGCAGGCAGCATAAAGACAGCTGTTCTGAGTGGAAATAATTTGCACGGTCTGCAGCATGTCACAATCACTAGTGTCCCTTCCCTTGAATATTTTGAGCTGACTGATAGTTGTTTGACGAAGAGTGATCTTGAGCCACTTTTCTCTATTCTTTCAACAGCTGGTAGGATAAAAACACTTGTTCTGCAAGGAAACAATTTGAACGGTTTGCATCCTGTCTCGATCGCTAGTGTACCTTCCCTTGAAGAATTACACTTATATGAAAGTGGTCTTACAAACAGCGAGATTGAGCCACTTTTCTCTCTTCTTTCATCCGTAGGTAGCATAAAGAATGTTATTCTGAAAGGAAACAATTTGCACGGTTTGCAGCCAGTCACTTTCACTAGTATCCCTTCGCTTGAAGATTTGCGACTATATGAAAGTGGTCTGACAAACAGTGATATTGAGCCACTTTTCTCTCTTCTTTCATCAGCAGGTTTCATAAAGATTGTTGCTCTGAGAGGAAACAATTTGCACGGCTTGCAGCCTGTAACGATCGCTAGTGTCCCTTCCCTTGAATATTTAAATTTACGTGAAGCTAGTCTAACAAATAGTGACATTGAGCCACTTTTCTCTATTGTTTCATCAGCAGGCAGCTTACGGACAGTGGTTCTGGAAGGAAGCAATTTGCATGGTTTATCACATGTCAAAATCAATCCTCTCCCCTCCCTTTACTTATTGTATTTAAATGAGTGTGGTCTACAAAATAGCGATATCAGGGCAGTCGTCCGTTTACTGTCATCTCTTGGGCATGTGATTGGAGTCAACTTAGGCGGCAACAATTTACATGGCAACGTGGCGAAGAAATTAGCTGCCGTTCCTTCGTTGGGAGTGTACAATCTCGGTACTGAATGGTTACAGATATCACACAAAAAGAAGACTTGTACATGTGAAATAATATAATCCGTAGCCCGGATATGTTGCACTGTTCATTATTTTATCCCCACACATAAAATCAGTAAATGCCTTTCTGCATGCAATAGTGTTTCGAAGTTTTCCAATAAGCAACAATGCCAGACACATTTCAACTGCCTCTTAAGCAGGAGCGGACTTAGGTTTGGCTTAAGGGAAATGGGGGAGGCGTTGCCGGAAAGAAAGGTGTTTATAGCAGGATTGTGCTGATTTTATTTTGTTATTGTCTTTTGGAATCGTCCAAAAGGCACTCAGGAATTGATGCTACAGGGCCATTAATTCTACATTTGTTATTAATTACAAACTCGGTCCAAAATTTAATATTTTCAAGATTTATTTCACTTTAGTTCTAACCTATGATTCAGCTGGCAATTTCAGCTTTCATTGCTTTGTTGTCTACTAAACATTTGTTTCTTTTCAGGTCTTTGCTTTTGATTCAGATAAAATTGATTGCAAATGTTAAATTTGTGTAAATATTTCTGTAAACTCTGTGAAAAAGATTTCATTTACTCAACAATAACATTCACTTCGACCGAACGTAGAATTAGTCGCAAATACCTTCACTTCAGTGAAGTCCCTTCACTGAACTCGTTTGTCCCTATAATAACAATACTATTGACTAACAATACTATTTAATTGACAAAGCACAGGACAGTTCTCATAACAAATCTCTGAGGAAAACAATGAATGTGTGGTTCTTTGTCTTGTTGTCATCGGACTGTATTTGCACGTACAGTGTCAACTTGAGCTAAAAGCAGTCGGTACAGCAGTGTCTATATGATGACCCCCAGTCACACCCCACCACACCCTTTTCTGCACCCATACACAAAGTTTGGTTTTGCAATTCTACAGTGGACCATTCACTTCTTTTGTTCCGCTTTGAACACGGAAACCTTTTTAAGCACCCCGGCTTAGGTCATCGAGGTTAACCCATTATTCCAAGTCCTCGGACATAAAGGACCATTACAACTTCCGATGCCTAAAAAGAGGCAATAAGATATTCATGACTTAATCTTCAAAAATTCCTGACACACAAAAATGCAATGAAAAAAAGGAAAAACAACAACAAACAGAAAATCAGTAGAAATTGGGCTTCATGCCGTGATAAAATATAAACAGATGTGTAACTTATCAGTTGCCACTAATGCATGCTCTTTACATAAATTAAGAATAAGGCCATCAGCCTGGGGGTTTGGTCGGTATCAAATCAGGGCATAAATGATTAAAGTGCACATGCGCAAGGTATACCGCCCCTAGAGTGGTAACAAGCATTTTGATGGACATTTAAAAAAAAAAAAAAAAAAAGGGTGATAGGACCCAAAAAGCTGCCACCGCTGCAATGCTTTCACATATTTTTCAACTCTGGAGTGATACCTTGCCATACCAGGCTGATGACCTAAATAGCCAGGCGTCTTTAACAGAAAGCAGGAAGTCGCTGGTTGCAAATCCCACTCGAGCAGCCTTGTTTTTTTTTGTTTTGTTTTTTTTTGGGGGGGGGGTTTCTCTCGCAAATCTCAGACAGTACCGAGTATGCAGAACCTTAAACATTACATCGGTTAGTGAGAAATCATAAAATTAAACTAAAAGGGAAAAAATGATCGTTGTCACATAATGCACAAGCCGACAATTCACCCCTTGAAGTTGACGTCACATGTGAGGGCAGGTCTTTGTTGCTCTGTAACACGCATGAGTAGACGCATTGTATTGTAATTGTCAGTGAATTTAAATTACAAACCTGCCCTCACTGAGGGCGCACCGTGCAAGGGGTCTGCTGTAGAGATTCTAATGGTATTTTTTGGCAAAAGTTTTGGAGCATTATTACTAGTGATGGGAGTCAATCTGGTAAATGAAATTCACCGAGAATGTGGGTGTGCAAACTTGTTGTGTTCATGTGAGAATTTGAGAAACCAAGGCAAGACAATAATACAACTGCAAAAACTGTACGACATATACATATATCGAGAATTATTGAAAGCAGAAGCAAAGTTAACTGACAGTGGAAATAAAGATGTATACCTTCCCTTTGTCTATGCTTAA